GTGTGTGTGTGTGTGTGTGTGTGTGTGTGTGTGTGTGTGTGTGTGTAATACAATAATCATTCTGCTTGTTATCAAAAAAGAAAGGCTTAGTCACACAAGAACAAACTATTCCTGATAAACTTTTTTTTATCATTGGTTGTCTTGAGAACATGCTGGCAGACGTAAATTTATATTTATGAATGAAACAGATACTCACAGTGCAAGTGCGTCACACAGTAACAAGAAATTGTGAGATTTTATATTACGTCAGGGATATCATTTTGAGTTGGCTGCCCCTTTAGGATGCCAAAATATCAAACATAAATAATATTAACTGATTATTTGAAAGATTTCATACTGGGACTTTGTGCATCTGAAAACTGAACTCTAAAAGCAGAAGACTGACCTCTAGTGTTGTTGGACAATTTCACAAACCTGAAACTGAACGATGCTCTGTCCTCTGCAAACAGTAAATTATCACAACCACTTGATTCCTAAAGAATTAAATGTTCTCCAGAACTTATATCTGAACTTAATGATTTAATCTTTATTATTGGCAACTGTGTGGTATTTATTTTTCTTTTTTTAGCATGCTAAACGGACTCTGGCTCTAGCTTTTGAACATGTTATAATCTTAAATCTTATCCTTTTTTTTTTTCAGTTTCTACTTCTAGAACAAAGGTTTTTCAGTAGCAATACATAAAACAGCGCACAACCCAGGTATATATAAGTCCTTACTATGCATCAGGTACCTATGAAGTACCAAGTACTTTCAGTATATGTAGGTATTTACCTGGTACCATGCATGAATCTTAAGTACCACGTATGTCACCAGCTATGTAACTAGTAGATACCCTACACATACCTGGCACATACCAGAAACTTACCTGAAAATTTCCCAGTATGTAAAGTGTTGTGTAATTTCTAAGAAAGTACCTGGCTGTATTATGCATTGCTACCAGTTTTTCAATGTTTTTCTTTAAACTTTGGCTACTTTTTCGTTCAATTCATATGACCGAGCATTGCAGCCTATTATGTAGTTTGTACTTAAAAAAGAAGAAGAGAAAGAACAATGGAGAAATGCCAGGCCTAAGAAATTAAAACCTATGAGCCTATCTTTAGACACGTCAGCAGGTAGAAAGATTAGCAGACCTAATATTGGACTGTAATGTGATGCTGGTGTGCTTGTTTGCAAAAACAAAAGATGCACAACAGTCAGCTGAATTCCAGTTTAAGTGACCCCTGCTTATCTGGTAGAGGAAATCAACCTGACATACATTCTCCGTGTGCCTGCATAAAAAGGTCCTGTAATCCTTTAAGCCAATTATTATGGGACACAGGGAGACGAAGGACAGAAGTCAAACACAGTTGCACGAGCTGTCCCAGAAAATATGGTGTGGGTGTGGAGAGAATTCATTTTCTAATTTGCACAGCAGTGGTTCAACACTCAAAGAACGCTTACAATGACACATGTGAGGAGAGACAGAGTTGCAGCGGGGGAGTAAAAGGTTCCCTCTCATATGCCATTATTTGGAAATATAACAAAATAAATTAAATACATAAATTCAGCCTACGGTAGTTGTCAAATGTGAATGTGAAGCTGCCCTGAAACCTTTCCTGGATTAAACGGAGTTCATAAAACTTCAAGCAGTGATGGATAATAACTGTCCTTTACTCTCTGACCTATACAAAAGAAACAGCAGTAAGTAAAATGTTTGAATCTTATTAGGATTCTTTTTCTGGAATTTCCTTCCAGAGGCGACAGAGGAAAGTTCAGCTCCCTTTTAACAGCAAGAAACCTTCAGCAACCTCGACTGGCTGGAGGTTGGGTGAAAAGAGACAGATGAACACAAAATAATTGGTCGGGGTGTAGTTTCTATGGGAAGAACAACAAAGAAAAACATAAGTTAATGACCACTACATTTACAAATACAGATTGAGTAAAAGCCACAGCAGAGTGAGGAAATATGGTCAGTTTGTCCTCCAGCAGTCTAAGCCGCAGCATAACTAAGGGATCGCTCAGGAAATCCAAACCAACCCTAACTATAGGATTTATAAAAAAAAAAAAAACTTAAGTCTTGTCTTAAAAGTAAATGGTGTGTCAGCCTCGTGCAAAGAAAGTGAAAGCCTGATAACTGAAAGCTTCACCTACCATTTTAGAAATCCAGGAAACACAAGCAAACCTGCAGTCAGAAAGAAAATCTGTTATGAAAAAAGGGAACAAAATATCTTTACTTAAAGATGGAGCTTGGTTGTTGAGAGCTTTGTACATTAGAAGAAGAATTTTAAATTCTCTTTATGTGGAAATGAAAAACGAAAATGGAGAAATGTGGAGAAATTCCTCCCTATGCAACTGGGTCCTGGATTTCTTAACCAACAGACCGCAGTATGTGAGGATCCACAACTTCTCCTCCACCATAACTCTCGGCACCGGCTCCCCTCAGGGTTGTATGTTGAGCCCCCTTCTGTTCACTCTGCTCGCATATGACTGTGCACCTACCCATCCAGGCTGTCATTTTGTAAAGTTTGCAGACAATACAGCGGTGGTTAGATGCATCACAAACTGTGATGTGAATGACAGTAAACTTAACTTGAACTTGAACTTGAACTACATGTTAACACTTCATTTAAAAAGGAAAGTATTTTTTATTGCACCACATTCATTAGGTTTTGCACATTTTGCAATAAAATGTGGTATCACATTCAAAATGCAGCAACTGGCAGTCAACTTTCAAATGTTAATGCTGTCATTATCATTGAATACAACTTAGACATGGGACAGTTTTCATTTGCAAGTGATAATCATCAGTGTTCTTTTATAAGAGCGAAATTTCCTGCAGCTACATTTTTTAAAAAAAAGGTACAACAATATTGTAACTCAAAAGGAAGCCCATTTCGGTGCAAATGTTCTGTGCACAGTGATTATTTTTACCCCATCTGTCATGGCATGGCTGATGTTTCTGCAATTTCTCTGTTTTAGTTTGTACATGTATTTATTTAATCTATCAATAGATCTGTGTATAGGCTGCAGGCTTTGTTATGCAATAGCTGCTGATGGACTTCCTGCCTGTAACTGGTTGCACGCTCATATAACTGAATGAATGTGTTACTTTTTTCTAAACTAGTCATGTAGTTTTTAAACGCAGACTGTGAGTTGTGGAGTAATAAAAACTATTAGACACACTTGTTGAAAAATGGAATATAAATTAAATTCAATTAAATTCAAAAATACTTTATTAATCCCAAAGGGAAATTAAATGTTGTTGTAACTCATTATCCTCATTTCATTAAGAGTTGTTACAGATACTGATGGCTGTAGGCAGGAAGGATCTCTTGTAAGGGTCCGTCCCACAGCGGATCTGAAGAAAGTGCCGTCCAATCCATCCACCCAGACTCGGCTGGCCTTTCGGTTCTCCCAGGCTGCAGGAACACCCGAATACTGGGCTGAACTTCTCCCAGGGCGATGGCCACTCCTTCCAGCAGCCTGCCGAGCTCCTCGTCGCTGCGGACAGCTGGCTGCAGGTGCCGGGGGATGATCCTGGTCCTTCTGTTGTCACGAGCCGCATTTCCTGTCATTTCCAGGATCTCAGTGGTCAGGCACTCGAGCACAGCTGCCAGGTAGACGGGAATGCATCTGTGGCACCTCTTTTTCAAATTAGTGGAGATTTGGGGCTGTGGCTGGGATATTATTTGAGCTTTTGAGAGGTTAATTAGCTGCTCCCGGTTGTAAAAAAAAAAAAAAAACACCTTGTCGTTATGGATACTCATCATAACAAATGTCCAAAACTAAAAAAGTTTTAGTAAAAATCCTTCCAGCTGCACAGCATCTAATCCCAGAGGAAGCAATCATCCAAAAATATGTGACTTATATCTGGAAAAAGAGGAATTAAAGTTTCCAAAAGCAAAATCTCCGAATGAATGTAACAGAGCTACTCCAACATGCAGCCTCCCCGAGTGGCGCAATTGTAGAACGAAATGCAAACTTGTATTGTAATCTTGAATGTTTTGATCCTCAATTTTTTTCAAGCATTGCATTTTTATTTACTACAAATTTTGAAATAAATTTATTGGATGATTGCTGGACATGGGCACCAGCGACCCCCGTGACCCAAAATGGAATAAGCGGGTAAAGAAAATGGATGGATGGATGGAATTTATTGGATATAATTTCAAAATCTCGGACTTCTTAGAAATCTGCGTATGTCTGACAAATTCTTGATGAGTGTTGTAAAACTTTCTTTCACTGGATGCCTTGCTTTTATACCTACAAGAACATTTTGCTACATGTGAAAATATAAAAACAAAATATTCAAAGCGACTTCTAATGAATGTTAAAATTAAATAAATAATTTAGGGAGGCAAGAGTGAACAATGTGACATTTGTTTAGAAAATAATCATAAAGCACATGACTGCGCATCAGTAGTTGTTCCACGTCCGTAGCTAGCGGTGTTTTGAAATGCTTCTATCATGTGCTCATGTCGTGTAAAGCTTCATGCCCGGAAGATTTTTTAAATCCAGATAAGATCATTTTGTTTGGGTGAACTTATCTCTTATTGCGCTGTTCATAAGGAGGAATTGAGACACTAGCATCTGTGTGCTGTTGGTGAAGAAGAACCATGTGATGCACTAGTTTAAAGAACATCTTAAAGTTTTGTTTTGGTTGCAAAGTTTCAGCTTTGATCTCATCAGTATTTTCTCCTCATTGTGTGCAGTCAGGCTTTTATCTAGTGGAGGCTTCTAATTCCTGGAGTGAAATCCTCTTAGGATCTATACTCTATTTCTGTTTGCTCTATTGGGTCTTTTTTTGAAATCTCCATTAGACCAAGCTCATTGGCTGGAAAAGACGCACACACGCAAAACACACACCGTCCAGCAATAGATAGCTCATAACAAGTGATTGAGAGGAGACCACTGCATGGTTAACTGCTGACACGCGACAGGACTTTAAAGGGACTGTGGAAGGTAAGAAAAACTTTGCTTAATAATGGAGTAAAATCCACTACAATTGGACTGAATCATTATTTTTTAATTTATAAAATATGAGACATTTACTTGCACTTTAAAGATAATGATGTGCATTTAGGTCTAGGTTTGAGGAGATATCTTGATTTTACTTTAATAATTTTCACTTTTTTTTTGCAATTCTACAACATTGGATGTTGAATAGAGAGATTTTAAAATATACATTTTTCAGTTCCTGTCATGTTCTAGAGTAAAAAACAAACATATGTTTAATAGGAAACAGATTTTAGTCATGTCTGTTCTTGGGCTAACAGCAGTTTGTAGCTGACCTATCAAACACTGCAGCTACTGATGCTTTGGTAGCTCATGTTGAATCTCCCTTAGTGAGTTTGAAGCTAGACAGCGGCCATAAAGATCATTAGACCAGATCGGGATCGTGACTGCAAGCAGGGGGGAGGACTACTAGAAATAGGCCATTTAATCCAATCAGCCATTGGCTTTGGGTACATCACAGTATCAACTGGATTAAACAATGACACTACAGAAATGACACAGCAATATGATGCAAAAGTACATGGCAAGAAAGTCTGCACATTTGCAACTACATTAATTGTGTGTCTGTGTAAATATTAGCATTAAGGGTGACCTGAAGCAGTGAAGACTTGGTAATCCTCTTTAGCCTGCATTAATTTAATTGAATATCATGAGACTCAAGTTGGTTTGAGGTTGTTTTGTCAAACATTCTGCATCTGCAGCTTCCGTCCCATGATAATATTAATATCCTTTATTAAAACCTCAAAAAACATAATCATCCATCTTATAAATAAAGATCATAAAAAATATGCTGGTGAAGATTCTCAGTCATCCAGGACATGGTAAATTAAAAAAAGTTCAAGACAGAAACCACTGGAATTATTTGTATTAGAAGACATTTCGCTTTTCTCAGTTCAAGGAACAGAGAGTGTGGAGTTCGAGTTATAAACTGAGGTAAGCTAGATACAAATGCAGATTAGCCTATCAGTCCTCTCTATAGGGGTACATTACACAGTAATGTCACAGGGTCTCTTTTGTTAGTCTGACACACAGAGGAGCCACTGGTGACATTGATGAAATTCCTGATAGGTGTGAAAATGACTGGGTATCATGCCTAAAGCTGCATTATACATTTTTGAAACTAATAATAAGCTATAATTTTAGATCTCTATTTTTTGTTTTGTCTCACAGGTAGCTGATTAAAACCATGTCTGGCAGGATGATTGAACTGGAAGAGACTGCAACCCAGACAGGTGAGCAAATGAACCACTTTCAATATAAAAATAAAATGAAAATAGTGTGTTCCTACAGAGATAAAGAGCTTACAAAGAAACAGGCTTTAGAAAGCAGGTAGCCCAAAGCAAAGAAGAGTTTAACCGATGCTGTAATCTTTTCTTCTTGCACAGCACAGTAATTAGTACACTTCCTTGAGAGTAAAGATAATCTCTACATCACAAAAGGACTCATTGTCCAGCATTACACACTGGTGCTTTAAAAGGAATGTATCTATAAAATGTCCCTAAAGGAAGACTGAGTTTCCATTATAGTTAAATGAGCTTGACACTGGTCATTGCGCCAAAGTAACTGATATAAATTGCTTTTGTGTTTTCTTCATAGGTCCAAAGGGGGTAATTAATGACTGGAGGAGGTTTAAGTTAGAAAGTATGGATCGTGAAAATCTGCCTCCTGCAAAAAGAGAGCTGCTGAGGCAAATGTCGTCCCCCAATAAGTCACAAGATGATGCCAGGGCAAACCTTAACCGCAAGGTACAGTCCAGTACTTGAGGGTTTGAGCTTTTTAAGAAGAAATGTTGTGTGAGGTTGACTGTTAAACGCTGCACAAATATGTAATTTCCTAGAAAACAGAAACTGCAACTGTTGTTTTATTTTATTTTTCAGATGAGTGTCCAAGAGTATGAAATGCTCAAGGAGGAGGACGAAGGATGTCTAAAGAAGTACAGAAGACAATGCATGGAAGAGATGCACAACAAGCTCAGCTTCGGCCCAAAGTTCGAAAGTGTCCACGAACTGGACAGTGGAGAGGCGTTCCTTGAAGTCATTGAGAAGGAACATCATACCACAGTGGTGGTGGTCCACATTTACAAAATCGGGGTGAAAGGATGTGAGCAGCTGAACAGTTGCCTGGACTGCTTGGCCGCTGAGTACCCCACCGTAAAGTTCTGCAGGATCGATGCTGTTGCATCTGGTGCTGCCGAGCGTTTCTCTGATGAGTATTTACCAACGCTGCTGGTGTACAAGGCCGGAGAGCTGCTGGGAAACTTCCTGTCCTGCACGCAGCACCTAAACGAGGAGTTCTTTGCGACCGATGTTGAGGCCTTCCTCAACAGCTATGGCCTGCTGCCAGAGAAAGACCTACCAGGGATGGAGGATGAAGAAGAACATGACGTAGAGTAATCAAAGAGTTTGGCTGCTGAGGAGGAGAATGTGTGGTGGCATCAAGAGGCTGGGAAATCAGGTTTGAGTAAAACAATTTGTAAATAAAATATGACGAGTGAATGTTTTGGATTTCGGCAAACAGGAAAACCATTTTCCCACCAGAACGTAATGGACTGGTTAAAATGTTGTAGTCAGGAACAAATGGGAGCTGCTGAATAAAGATGCAGAATTCCTCACCACCACACTGACCAAAGCCAAAACAAGTTAACTGCAATTATATTTGCAATGTTTCTTTTTTAAATTAGAAAATGTTGCATGCTCAATGTTCTTGTACAAAGATTCCAGTCTTCGTAGCTTTTATTTCTGTTGGTGTCAACTCAAGTTATTTATGTTTATGGCTTATGGAAAATGGTTCTCATGAATGTAGCATGATGTTGTAAATTATTTGATATATTTGAGGTTGAAAATAAACAAAGGTTTTGCATTTTTAAGACTAAAACACTCATGATAATTGAATTTTTGTTTTTGAAAATGTCTGAACAAATAATGCTACTGGTTTTAAAAGTCAAGGTTTTCATTCAAATAACTTTTCACAATATAATGTTTTCAGAAAAATATCTAAGTTGAGACACTGGATCAATTAAAAATAGCAGTCGTAATTACAGCATTTATGATTCACCAAAGCTGTAGCCATTGTCTGTGTTTTATATATTTTAGTTAAGTCTGTTATGTTTAACCCCATGTATATTACAAAAATAAATTTTTAAACACACTGCCATTTGGTCTTGAAAAGTCTTGCTATTTAGAGCAACTTGATGACATTTTGCTTTGATTGTTTTCTTTTAGTTAGAAAAACTCCAGTTTGAATAAGCAATGTAGGCAGCTTGGGTGGGTTTTCTCCAAATCCTCTGTCTGGCTTTCTTCTGCCCACAAACATACATTAAACATACTATTGAGGAACTTTTTAAAATTCTTATTCCCGTGACTACTTCAGAGTCCAGAGCATGTCAGAGTTTCAGCAGTTTTTATTATTTTAAATTAAACAAACACATTAAGAGAAAGGACTCATGGTTGTCTGCAGCAATGCAAAGACTAAATGTCTTGAAAAACAGGATGTTTCATGGTAACAAACCTTGTTCTTCTTGTTGCACAGACACCCCCCACCCCCCTCACTGGACCTCAGGCCAAACCCAAGAATGAAAGACACATAGGATTTTCAAGCATACACTCGTAGTACAAAGCCACAATGTGATGAGAACAGAATCAAATTAAGCGATTCAAATCTGCTAAATTTGCAGAACCGCCCTACAGTGCTACAAGTATTGATTATAGAGGATTGCCTATTATTGTGAAGTAGATTAACAGTAATAATGCCTTGAAAAGATGAACATTAATCCTTTCAGTCAACTCTCAAGATCTCTGCTTTGTATCACGGGCGGCACAGTGGCGCAGCTCGTATAGAGCTGCCGCCTCTCAGAGAGAAAGTCACTTGACTGGATCTCGACCAGTGTTCTCTCCATGCATGTGTGGGTTTTCTTCAGGTACTCCGGTTTCCTCCCACAGACAAAAAACATGCATGTTAGGTTGATTGGTAATTCTAAATTGTCCCTATGTGTGAATGAGAGTGAATGGTTGTTTGTCTCGTTTGTCTCCATGTGGCCCTGTGATGGACTGAAGACCTGTCCAGCCTTTTACACAGTAATAGCTGGACATGGGCGCCAGTGACTTTAAAATCTTAATTATGTGAGGGTTTTTTTTTTTCTGGTTCTGTATTAATAGCCCTACAGGTGACCTTTCTATAAGCATTTATTGTGCGTTTGTTTGTTTAAAAAAGTTGATATTCTTGTTTTTTTTTTTTTTCTGTACTGTAATCAGTTAATTAATTTTGCATGGGTTTAGATTGTTGTTTGAGTAATTCTGTTGTGTGTTTGTCAATCTTTTACAGCTCAAATGCAAATAAGAGTTCTCATTATCAATATGACAGTTTCACTAAAAATTTACACACTAGATACTTTTATCTGGGATCTCATTGCCAGGACAAATACAAAACTTCCAAAGCAAAAAACTTTTTACGACTTTATGTAAAAACTTTATAATTTCAATTATTTTTGGCACTTATCTACAAAAAAGCCTTTTACAAGGTTATACTGTACATGTGACAAAGTGCAAGACCTTGTACAAGTGAAATGTAAGCAATATGCAAACACATTTCTCTGAGGGTATCTATGTGTTTGTAATTGTACAGCACCACATGTGGCATTTCTTGTTTTGCCTCTAGCTGATAAGATAAGATAAGATAAGATAAGATAAGATAAGATAAGATAAGATAAGATAAGATAAGATAAGATAAGATAAGATAGAACTTTATTGATCCTGCAGAAAATTGTTGTGCCAGAGTTTCAGTACAGGAACATACACAAGGCACAACATACACAAGATATAAAAAAAAATAACAGAATATAAAAATTCCAACAATTAAGGTCTAAAACAGGTCAGATGCAGACAGAAACATTAAAGTGTTTATTGTAGTGCAGGATTAATTTTATTGTTCAATGTGTAGAAAGGAGGAGGAGTTGAAAAAGTTGATCACCACTTGCTCCAGCTGAGATCGAATGCTTCTCCCTCCCTCTCCGCTTTGCTTTGCTGCTCTGTCTGTCTGTGAAACTGCTTGTGAGCCTCTCTTGCATATCTTCTGAACCATAATTATTGACTTGTTTTGATCAGTTGGTCCCTCAACTCAATTTACAGCATTTCTTCGAAGAGAAGACAGGCTTTAGGCGAGCCGATTTGCCCTGTTGGCATGCACGCAGCTGGATAACTCATCGACTTGAAGACTTGATGATGTGTCTATCTCTGCTGCCATCTGTGGATTTTAAGGACGCATATTTAATTGTATTTTCGATAAATGGTTCCTGCTTTTTTGAATTCGGCTGGTTGCTGGTTTTATCTACAATCAAGGAAGTCGTCGGCAGCAAATTTGGACCCGATCACGCTGCTTGCCTTTATGATGGCTTGGTTCATGTCTCGAGTACCCAGACTCAAACGCTTTGGCCTGAATGGATCAGATCTTGGGGATTTTACTCAGTCACATTCCATCGGTGTGGCCATATATTTTGGACATTTCGGAACCGAGTCGACCAACACTGATGTTGTTAAGTTTTGCCTGTCCCCAAAACAATTGTGTGTTTATCTGAATTTGGCTCCCTTGGCTGGCCTTGAAGGCCATCTTATCTGAATTTGCCTGGAGAACATGTGATCTGATGCTCACCACCCACTCCCTGAGGAATTTCCAACTGATTACCAGATGGAACCAGCTGAATAAACTTTGTGTCATCATTTCAGGACTCTTGGATTTTCATAGACGTTATTCTTGGCCATTCCTCGACATACCTCGAGAATGTTTATGGATCTCACCGGAGGACATTGACTGATTATTACATCCTATCAGAACTCTTAAAGTGACCTCGAGAGCATCTATAAACATTGCTGACCGCTCTCGTCTCCCCCGTCTGCAGAATGTCTACGTCACTATGTGCTGTTTGTGCGAGGTGTTTTTTAAATATTAGAGGGGTTTTTTTCTCAGGCAGGAAAAAAAAAAGTCTGATAGGAATTTTTTTCGCCTCCGACTCCTACATGTGTCCAGTTAACCATCGTTTTTGTCTGTCCAAACAGGTCTCACTTGTAAATGAGTCTTCGAGGCTCAATGTGATTTATCTGTTTAAATAAAGGTTGAATGAATGAATGATAGCCACAGGGAGGAAGGACTTCCTGTGGCATTCTGTGGAGCATCTCATTCTATTCAACCTTCATTTTATTTAAAGTTGTCACGTTTTGCCTCTGTTTGTCATGTTTTCATGGTTTTGTTCTCCCTGCCAAGTATTTCCAGCTCATGTCAATCACTCAGCTCCACTCTGTTCCACACCTCCTCTGCCCAGTTCCTGAAATCAGCCTTCATTCACTGCACATGTTCACCTGCCTTCTTAAGCTCCCTGTTCACCCTCATTCAGGGCCAGATTCTCAAACCTAACTAAGCAGTAGAAATCCAGAGTACCCTGTTTTGACTCTTGACCACGAACCTCAGCCTGTTTTTGACTCTTTGCCTTGCCCTTTTTGGATTTGTCTGCTAATCTGACCATGGTAACAACCTTGCATTCTCTCTCGACCAAGTCTTTAGATCACGTTTTGGCTCTGGCTTCTGCTCTTTGACCCCTTCTACTGGACCACGAACCTGGATTCCCCTTTCTGGACTCTTAATACTCCTGGACTGCTGTGCTGCTGCAGTTCACTCTCCCTGAGTGATGTCACCGGCAACAGTGAGACTACAGCCCAAGTCAAACCATCAAGACAGAAGACTAGACGGGCCCTTGACCAGAAAAACGTATTTTTGTCAAAAGTAGTGTGTCTCAGATTTACTATAACCTTTTGATACCTATTTAAATTAAAGTTTTTTTTTTTTTTTTTTCCTTCTTTAGGAACAGAGAAAAAACCAATATGTCAACCAGACAGGTGTCTACTGACCTAGACTTGCCACTACTTTTCCCACCGCTAAAGGATAACTACATATACCATGTTGTGTTTAGATGTTTTAACTATAGCTAAGTGGAGTTCTGAGACAATACCGCTGCCACACCAAGACTCGAACACCTAAAAGAGGATCAATTGTATGTCTACAATATAAAATGAGATGTTGGGAAGTGAAATAACTTTTTGTCTCAATATTAAAATGGATTCAATTAAAATTTTCACTTTGTTTAATCAGGACTGTGTGAAATTGTAACATAAATGTAAAAACTTTTAAATGCATTGTGCCAGATTTAGCCTTGGGCTAATTTTCATCTATAGTCCCTCCAGGAAATAAACAAATCCCACAAAATAATTAAACATCCACCATCAGTGAAAACAAAAATATTTAACAGGTAATTAAAAACGTTTAGGTTTTTACGTGATCAGGTGCTGCATTCCACTGAGCGATGGCTTTTTCAGAGAAAGCTTTTCTGTGCTGAACGTCGAACAGGATTTGTACATTTCTGCGTAGATGTTCTGGGGAGCATAAAGCGGCCGCTGAATGGTGAAAAACTTGCAAAGTTAGGCACTAAACCATGTAACATTTTTATACACTGTTTCCATCTTAGAGAACACTAAAATTCTCAAAAGTAAGAAGCATTAAAACTTTTTTTTTCATTGAATCTTTAT